GGAACTTTAAGTTTACGTCGTAGGAAGGTAGTAAGAAGGAACCGTACCTACTACTACTACTAACGACGTCCTACTATCACTACCTCCGTAACGAACGTAAGTATATATCTACTCTCTCTCTCTCTCTCTCTCTCTCTCTCAAACACCATTAAGCTAGGGTTAGTGTTGTTACATGAACTAAAAGTCTAAAAACTTGCTAAGAATCTCTCTCTCTCATCTTTTTGTTAGGGCAATAGCATACTATTTCCACGATCTCCCATTTAACATATAATTCTCTCTCTCTTGTTTTTTAGGGCAATAGCGTATCTTTCCACTTTTGCCAATTTAACGTGCTAATTATATAGATGAAAATAGCATTGCCCAGATGCTATTGGACACTCATCAACAAACCGCATTCTCTCTCTAGAAAAATGATTCTCTCTCTATAATTTATTTACTCATCAACAACGCGCATTCTCTCTCTAAGAAAAGGATTCTCTCTCAATAAATTATTTGGCCTTTCAGGTGGTCGTTAATAGCGGGTAGGCTTCCTGGGCGCACGGACAACGAGGTGAAGAACTATTGGAACTCCCATCTCCGGAGAAAGCTCATAGGCTTGGGGATCGACCCCAAGAACCATCGCATGGCCCACACCCTTCCGCGTCAGCACTTCCACTGCTGTTCCCGGACCGACCCGAAGAAGGACCCACTGCCAATGTCCACCGTCCATGTGGAGACTGACCAGGTCTCGGATGCTGCCAGCTGTTTGGATGACGACACTTCGGCTAGTGTGCCTAACCTCAACCTGGAACTAAGACTGAACCAACCCTCTCCATGTGTGGCAGGCATCGCGCCGGTAGAGGAAGAAATCGACACGAGGGAGTTCCGCTCATGCAAAGATGAGCAGGCTCCTCCTTCTCCAATTTTGCTTCTATTTTTATAGATGATGATGCAATTGGGGATATGGGGTCGGGGTATCGGTGGTTAGGGGTGCAGATGTCTTAACATAACGTCCCACCTTCCATTCCCACCGTTAACATAAAATAAATAAATAGATAGATGGTGATAATTGATGACACATCAGAAGAGATGAATGTTAGGATGTATTGAGAAGATGAGGATTACCCGAAGAAAGAAAAGGCCTGGTTTTATGCCCGAAGGCCATGTAGAAAGACATATATAGACGTTGGTTCCGTTCTTCTTCCCTTATGACTGGTTGTTTTGAAAGTCCCGCTCTTCTAGCAGGCCTAAGCTTTTGAAGTTGGGCCAAGTGTACATGTGAGATGGGCCCTTAATTGACCCTTTGCACCTGTTATGTAGGACCAAGAAACCGAATAGTTACTTATTTTAGAGTTGCCCTATTCCTCTTGTCTATCCAGGTTATTCACGCCTCTTATATGAAAAGAAAGTGTGTTGTGTCTAGTGTGATGTAGAATATAGAGGACTACGTTTGCAGTAACTAGGGGCAAGCTATGAATGATTCATTTGAAGATTTTTACAAGGTATACATTTTACAAGGTATATTTAGTTCTTTGCAAAGTATTCACTCTTTATATGAATTTTGCAAGGTATTTAAGCATTTGCAAAGGATACCTTATTGTGTTTAGGGCTGGGGCTGGCAACGGCCAGACCAGCCCAGGCTTTAGCCCTAGCACTAGCCCAGCCCCATTCCCTTTGTGAGCCGGCCCTGGCCCTATCAGGGCCAGGCCAGGACAAGCCCAACCGGGTAAAGCTAAAGAAAAACAAGACAAAAGAAAAGAAATATGCTCCAGGCCCGGCTGAACTGGGCTTCGCCACCCTCCCATTGCCAACCCTAATTGTTTCTAATGAGAAGTACAGAAGATTATGCCATTAGGACATGGTGGATTTAGAAGACATGGAAGATTTGCAAGGTGTAACGTAAGGTCCCACGCTTGTTACTTTCGAATAAATTTTTACAGGGTAGTTGTAGAGGTTGTATGGTTGTAAACAGTGAAGTCTAGTGAAAATGTTTGTTGACAGATAAATCTTATTTTCACTACTCTGTGGCTTAATGGTTGATAGACTGATAAGGTTTTTTTTTTTGTTGTAGGAAAAAAGGGTACTTTCCTTTCGGTTGTAGACCACATACTTGTGCTTCCATATTTCAAGTTCATCACAAAATGAACGACATCCTTTTATTCACCAAACATTCAAAGCAGCACAATTCTGTTCTGATTAAATTGATTTAAAGTTTAGGATCATGTGGAGTTAACGAGCATTGCCTTTTTTTCTCATCAGCTTCCAACCTGGTCATGTGGTTTGTCCACATAGCTGACAGAAGCAAGATGTATTCATCGTCATCGCAACGAAATTTCTTAAATTTGCCTTCGACAATTTTGTGGTAGTAGGAAGGCATGTGATTATCTAACTACCGTTCCACAAGCAACAAACAAAAAGATATTTTGTTGAGTTGCAGAAATTTTACAAATAATGTGGCTAAAAATTCAATCCTAGGTCATCTGTTACCTTCGAATCAGTTTGTAGCTCCACATGTTTAGCTATAATACCTAGGATTCCAACATGTCATCCCAAGGAATTGACTGAGCAACATCCATCTACAATGTAGCATGTCCTAATAAGTTGAACTACTGAATGGCAATACAAGAAACCATTTAACTAATATTTATAAAGCATCATTCACCTAATTTACCATGCCTTATGCAACTACTGGATAAAGGTTGACTCAGATGACAAAAATGAGAAATACTTTTTGGGGCCCATTTTGATTAGGTAGAATGACGCTTGTACCGTAGTGCCTACATCGACGCTCCACAGTGATTATAGATATTTTTAATTGTATTAGCTTATCTCAGTGAACTTGAATACGACATTAGTAATTACTACACCAAATAGATAAGATTGTCAAAAAGATGTTCTTCTTAGCATTCACCTAATCCAACAAACTCATTATGAGTTATATTGACCGCATTAAGGTTATAAGTCAATATCTTAGTATCAATTCCAAGAGCTCACCTGAAAGACTGCTGCAATTAAAGTTTATTTTGGTTAAGTGTAAAATGTGTCTAAATACATTTTCCTTTCGAAAACGAAGCTTCACCACTTCCCGATGATTTATGCAACTCCTATAGAGAAGGTTTGCTGGACTCAGATGCATATCACATCAGTAATACTTACAAGCACAACGAATCCCAAGATTATAACCTTATGAACCATTGCTCACAAAACAAGCCCTATTGAATCTTGAACTACTTTGTCACCTCCTAAGGTTTCAGTATGCATTTCCCCATTGTTTACCCTTTTAAATCCTAAATTTCCTCCAGACTAAAGCCGCATACCTAGATCCATTTCAGACCCTTTTTCGTATTTACATTGTCAATACTTTGTGATCAATCTATGTTGGAAAGCCACTAGGATCTTAATAATTCTTCAAAACCCTATCATAGGCTTTAGCCATGCATCGTAAGCCAAATGATTCAAATTCCACTGAATAGTATGTTCATTTTCAAGTCACATAGTTGAAGCCAGCATTCATGCCTCGTAAATTAAGGTATTATTTTTTGGAAGGTTAATGCCATACAGATCAAGAATTTAATCATCACCATGCCTTTGACTACATCTTTTATGCTCTTTGTTATTGTGGTAATTATATAAGCCATCCTTTTCAACAATGTAAATATCAGTTACAGTCAAAACTTGTATACAAGAAGAAGTTGGAAAACCACAAAACCCAAGTAAAACTGATGGGCTAGTCTCTTTCAACAGCCATCTTGATCTAGACCATAATATTTCATTCCCCACGTGATCATTGCAGATTCACTTTGATGTATCTTAGTAGAGTTGCTCTTGGGAATGGTCATTTTGGACAGGCAACCGTTAAGTTGGGGTTACCAAAATGAAATTAGTGAAAGAAATAAACAAACTGGATAATCCCAAATTCCAAATTTGATAGGATGCTAGTTAACAAACTTACGGTATATGTTTTCTTGTACACAGGTCATGCATATATGTTCAACTTGTGTGAAAATATAATTCCTATTTTCAATGTATATTCTTTGTCTCTATTCCAATAAAGTTTTTGAAGTAATCATAGTAACAGTTGATGGTTTACATCCATCAATTGATGATAACTTCCCAAAAATAAATAACAATATACATTGATCTATGAAACAACCACATAAATTAACCTAGATCAACGGTCAAAATTTAAGTTTGGCTAGTAAAAGGGTAACCAAATACTAGCATTACAGCATTAAAAAGAAAAACCAATCTAACGGATGAATTCCCTTGCGTATGCCAAATAAATGATGAACTCACTAAAATGAAAGATGGGAGGTGTTTGGAAATTTTGATAATCTTAGCATTCATAAGTAACCAAAATACTTAGGACAAGGGGCAGGAGAAACATTTGGAATATCGACCTCACTCTTAGGGAATATCATTACCTTATGTGGCTATTGCACTAACTAATCTCAACATTAAAAAACCAAGGAAATGGAAATAATATGAAAAAGGGGAAACCCATAAGAGGGAAATAGTATATCAAATAAAGTGCGAACTTCCACTTTAGGATAGAGGGCTTCCATGTAAGTAACAGTTGTGCAACATCACACAAAGTCGCACGAACACCTAATCTTTATTATTGTCGTCTATAGCCAATTCTCCAATACCTCATGCATTCTCAATGCCTCAACTCACACTAACTAGCTCTGAATTACAAACACAAAAGTCATGTTCAGATGGGCTAGAAAAGCATGATCAAACCTAGGGCATAAAAGCCATACACTTGAAGAACAATTACACAGCTTAGACATAGGTAAGAGAGAGAGAGTTTGAGGGAGAGAGATGCCGGAATTCTGCGTTACAGGAGGAACAGGCTTCATAGCAGCCCACATCATAAAAGCTTTGCTAGAGAGAGGCCATGTTGTTCGGACGACTGTAAGAGAACCAGGTAATTATGAAAGTTTGAGTAATATAGATTAGGGGGTGTGATCTAATCCTTATATAAATATCACTAATTTAACTCAAATTTATTCACTAAAGATGGTTGTCTTATCTTTGGCTCAGAAATAGTGCACTATAAACTTTGGAGAATGTATTTCATGCTATCATTTCAAATAGTTTGCTAGCACCTTACAACCATTAGGTAACATCTAAGAAGAGTTGGGGTCCGTCATTCAGTTTCCTAAATTGAAAAATAAACACCATGTGAAGGTCGTTTCCCTTCACCCTAAACTTCTCAATCTGTTTCCTAAGTTGAAAAATACCCTCAATTATTGACCTCCTTGGCAAGTGAATTTTTAATTTTCTCTTCTTCATAAAGGAGACTAAGATCAAATTCATTTTTTTTATTTAATATAGCTTAGCTGGAAAAGTGAATTTATAGAAATGATTTGTTTAACTTAAGGGAAAGATATGCTTACTTACTAGAGGGTGCAAATTCATCCATTACTTACTTCTCAAAAAGAAAGAGATATTCACTTACTTATCAAAGGCTAAAACCAAATTGGCTTTCTAATACATTCGTTTCATGCCGTGGTCGTTGCTCAATCACTCTCTCCCACAACTTCATAGTGTGGGTCATTAGGTTGATCCTTCAATAGTTTGTACAATTATGTATCTCTCATTTGTTCTTGTAAATAGGTACCATAGTACTTTTCTACCATTTATCTGACACTTTCTTTGTTCTCAACACCTTGTTGTCAGTCAATACCAATTTCCCCCAAGCACTTACAAACTTCTATCGGTTATTGTCAGGTCCTAAAGTCCTTCCTAACTTCATCCTCTTCAGAGCTTCTATCATTTTCGATATCCTAATCGTAAAAATGTATCTATGACCTCCATCCTGATTTATGCCAACAGTTCCTTCTACTGCTATGTTCCCATTATGTTTGTCATTTAATAATTTTTTTGAAATAAATTCACCACCTTTCTTTGATCTCTTCATCCTTCACCAAGAGCCTTTGATTATCACTCTTAATGTATTTAGTATGGTCTAGATCACTATGCTTTCTCTCTTTTATTTTTGCTAATTTGAAGACATCTTTTTCACATTTTTTTGTTCCTAGTTTACTGTATAAATTATCATATAGCTTAAGTTTAGCCTTATAAATCTAAGTTTTGATCATTTATATTGCATTGTCAAGTTTTATTATATTTTTACTAATGGCTTTTTTATCCTCATCACTCCACCATGAAGTTTCTTTATCAGAATTGATTTTCCCTCTAGTATCTCCTAAAAACTTCTCTTGCTACTTTCTTAATACAATCAACCATCTCTTTCCATATAAAATTGACCTCATGGTTACAGTTTCATTTTCCTTCTTTAACTAATTTATCCCCAAATAAATCTATTTTATTATTTAAGTTCTATCACCTAATTATTGGATACTCATTAATTTCTCCCTTGTTCTTCTATGTCTTTATGCAAACGTCCATAACCACAAGCCTATGTTGCATACTCCAGCTCTACTTTCTTAACTACGAAGAAGTCCATCTAATTTTTACGTTATTCACTTTTATATGTTATTAAATGTTCATCTTGTTTTTTAAAGTAAGTATTTGCTATTGATAAGTCATAGGCCATAGCAAACTCAAGAATCAGCCTCGCCCATCTCATTTCTATGACCAAACTCATATGCATCAATTTACTCATGCATATCTGCTGTTTTGATTCCCTACATGTTAATTTAATTCCACTCATAAAAAACTCATCTCTCCATTTAGTATGTCTTGGGATAGTCCATCTATGTCCTTCCAAAATTATCTATTAAGTTTAGGGTGTGGTTTGCATACGGATGTTGTAAAGTTAAGGTTGAAGCAATCGTCACTGTTGAAGCATTTCGATGGTGCATATTGCACACTAAGACCAAGGGGCAGACTGACAATTACTGGTACATTGATTTCTTTCCCTATACCCAAAATAGTGTTATGGGACAGGAAGAAGAGGTAATGAGAGAGAGAGAGAGAGAGAGAGAGAGAGAGAGAGAGAGGAGGAAGAGTAGTAGTAATAGTAGAGAAGTAACTTACGTTACGTACGTAGGTAGGTAGGTACGTGTACGACGACGACCGAACGGAAGTAGTCGTACTA